TACTGTGGAGGCCAATTCTGGATCCACACGCCCTTCCACAGTGGGGACACAGGTTTCCAGGTGGGAGTTGATCACGGTGAGGGTTTGCCAAGCGTGCCTTCCTCTTAGCGCCTTTCTCCCTTATGTCCTGAGTTCAAGCATCTCCAAAGCCCATGACACCTTTGGTAAAGGCTGTTCTCCAATTGGAGCGCTCGCAGGCCAGTGTTTCCCAGTTGTCGGTGTTTATACTACATTATTTTAGATTTGCCTTGAGAGAGTCTTTAAACCTCTTTTGTTGACCACCAGCATTACACTTTCCATTTTTAAGTTCGGAATAGAATAGTTGCTTTGGAAGACGATCTTCAGGCATCCACACAACATGACCAGTCCAACGAAGTTGATGTTGAAGAATCATTGCTTCAACACTGGTGATCTTTGCTTCTTCCAGTACACTTGCATTAGTTTGCCTGTCTTCCCAAGTGACATGTACATTTTTTTGGAGACGCCGTTGATGGAATCTTTCGAGGAGTTGGAGACGGCGTTTAGAAGTGGTCCATGTTTCACAAGCATACAGTAAGGTTGGTAGTGCAATAGCTTTGTAAACAAGCATTTTGATTTCCCTGCAAATGTCCCAGTCCTCAAACATCTGCACTTCAGTCAGAAGAAAGCCGCACTCGCAGAGCTCAGGTGATGCTGGATTCGGTACCTCCTTTCTGGCAGTGTTTCTATTGGATGGTTTAGATCCACATGATTGGCCATGCCCTTTGGCTTGCAATATTTGTTGCTTCTTACATCCCTAGCAGTTTGGGATTCAACATGGGGTCATAACTGCTCTGTGGAACTGCACTTACTATAAAAAAGTAATATCTTTAACAGGTAGCTATTGTATGCAGGCATTTACCACATCGATAAGGCTTTATTGAATAATTTTACATGATAATTCTAATCAGCAATGCTTTTATGCACATGGGAGCTTATTGCACAGTCAGCATTGAATGTTTGCATTCTGCTTGGAAGCTTAACTGGGATTTTAAATACTACAGGAAGTGCCGTTAGGAGGTACATTCCTGAAGAACTCAATTACTAAATTTGCAAGCTATTTAAGAAAATAAATCAGGTCTGGCAAAGGGCTTATAAACCTCCTGCAGCTCCATTTGTTTTATACGGGAGAAGAGAGGAACCCAGTCTGAAGGATTTGGGGGACGGGGGGAGACTCCTGTCACAAACTTAAAATTCTGCTTGTTGGATTAACTTCAGTTTAAAGCCAGGGGTCAGCAAACTTTTTCAGCAGGGGTCCACTGTCCCTCAGACCTTGTGGGGGGCTGGAGTATATTTTGAAGAAAAAAATGAACAAATTCCTATGCCCCACAAATAACCCAGAGATGCATTTTAAATAAAAGCACACATTCTACTCATGTAAAAACACGCTGATTCCCGGACCGTCCATGGGCCGGATTTAGAAGGCGATTGGGCCGCATCCGGCCCCCGGGCCTTAGTTTGCCTACCCATGGTTTAAAACTGTAGTACTTGCATGAAAAGTGATAAACTACATTTAAAATTCTTTTGTACTGTTAACCTAAGATGCACATCTGCAGTATAAGTGGTTAGAGGTAGATCCCATTATAAATTGTTAGGAGAAGTTGGAGCCCATACTGTATATTGAATTCAGTACGGAGTAAATGACAACCCTTTGCTACAGTAAAGAAAGACCCTGTACAATTTCCCCAGTAGAAATGAAGGTGGGAATTAAGAAGGAAATAACGCACAGTCACTGATCCCTCATTTTTCCTCCTTGAGTGAATGGAAAAAATGGGACGAAGTCCATATTCCACCTCTCCAAAAACACTCCTTCACAGGCAAGCTGTGCCTCACTCCCTCCTTTTCAGGCTTACATAAGGAAAGCTGGGTGTTTTGTATGGGCTGGGGAAGAGACAAGATTCATCCAAGTTGCTGCAGCAAAACCAACAGCTTCCTCCTTTGCCTCTTTCACCTTCCCACCACAGCATGCTTTTCCATTTTCTGCAGAGGGCCTTCTTGGTAGTGGCGCCCGCCCTGTGGAACACCCTCCCATCAGATATCAAGGAAATAAACAACTATCTGACTTTTAGAAGGCCCTCTGCCTGGTTCCCTGCAACCTCACTTCTTGCAATGAAGGCCCTCAGAGCTGGACCTCAGTTCAGGCTGAACGATGGGGGTGGAGACGCTCCTTCAGGTATACTGGGCCGAGGCCGTTTATGGCTTTAAAAGTCAGCACCAACACTTTGAATTGTCCTCGGAAATGTACTGGGAGCCAATGTAAGTCTTTCAGGACCTGTGTTATATGGTCTTTGTGGTCACTCCCAGTCCCCAGTCTAGCTGCCGCATTCTGGATTAATTGTAGGTTCCAGGTCACCTTCAAAGGTAGCCCCACGTAGAGCGCATTGCAGTAGTCTTATTGAAGTCTTCTAATGATAATGTTTACATTTAAAAGATCTTAACAATAATGAGAGTATTAAAGGTTTTTTTAAAAAAATGTGGCCACAGCTTCTGATATGCTTTATTTTTGTTTTAAACGAGCCCTTGGTGCTACAGCCAATAGCAAATAAACACAGCGTCCCCTGAAATGCAATTGGGCTTGTCGGATTGCCCTGCTGTGGTTTTGGGTCCCTCACCACATCAAATGAACACAGATGCCTAGATGTTCTGTAGCTCCATTATTTAAGAACTAAGATATTTAAGAACCGTGACAACTTAAGTCCTCACAAGCTCATGGTGGCGTCATGAGTTCCAGCAGCTTTTGAAGCATTTGTTTGTTTATTAAATTTAAATCAAAAAGGGCAGGGTTCACATGGAAATTATAATAATTTATTTCAATTTGAATCCTGCCTTTATCTGCCATGATCCCAGGGCAGGTTATTAGACAAACCAAACATCATGACAATAAAATTTGAACATGAGATTTTTAAAAATCCAATAATCAATTAAAAAAATGGGCTGATAGAGCAGTGTGTCAATTCAGTTCTGGTTCACCATATCAACTTCCAATGGCAAAAGCTATGTCCTCAATTGGCACTTAAAAGTGAACAGGATCAGTACCAGTTGCATCTTGTGAGGATAGGGCATTCCTGCAGCAGGTTGCCGCCACAGAGAAGAAGACTGTCAGTAATGTCTACACTGACTGCCTGGGATGCAGGTGGCGCTGTGGTCTAAACCACAGAACCTCCTGGGCTTGCCGATCAGAAGGCCAGCGGTTTGAATTCCCATGACGGGGTGAGCTCCCATTGCTCAGTCCCAGCTCCTGCCAACCTATCAGTTCGAAAGCACGCCAGTGCAAGTAGATAAATAGGTACCGCTGTGGCGGGAAGGTAAACGGTGTTTCCGTGCGCTCTGGTTTCCGTGACTGTGTCCCATTGTGCCAGAAGCGGTTTAGTCCTGCTGGCCACATGACCTGGAAAGCTGTCTGTGGACAAACGCCAGCTCCCTCAGCCTGAAAACGAGATGAGCTCCGCAAACCCAGAGTCGCCTTTGACTGGACTTAACCGTCCAGAGGTCCTTTACCTTTACCGTACACTGACTGCCAGCGTGAGAGGCTCTCTAGGGTTTCAGACAGGGGCCGTTCCCAGCCCTACCTTGCAACTTGGACCTCCATTCAAAGCAGATGCTATACCACTGCAGTATGGCCTTCCCCTAAGAATTGCACCTGTCTTTGCTGTGTGGCAGGTATATATCTACTCTTTCTCTTTCTGCAGTTCCTTAAATTTATTTTTTATATTTTCTGCATATTCCACATTAACTTAACATACTCATGTATTCATCTACTTTAAATATATGTTCTTATAAAACTGTAGGTTATTACAACAATTCTGCCAATGTTCTTAACTGTTTACAGCTTATTTGTAAATATTCAATAAACCATTTCCATTCTTTTAGAAAAAGTTCATCTTGATTTCTTATTTTTCTGGTAAGTTACACCATTTCTGCATATTCCACAAGTTTTTGTATCCATTCTTCTTTTGCTGGGACCTCTTCTTCTTTCCATTTTTGGGCAAGTAACATTCTTGCTGCTGTAGTCGCATACATGAATAAATTTCTCTACAGTTTGGGTAGTTCTGACCCTATAATTCCCAAAAGGAACGCTTCTGGGTTGTTGTTTTTCAAACATTATTTTAAGCATATTTTTCAATTCATTATATATCATTTCCCAGTAAACTTTAACCTTGCTGTCGGTGGTCTTGTGGTTGATAGATAGGCAGCTTCATGCATTTCCCTGAAGGACGGAGGCACAAGTGTCCCTTTCCCATGTTACACTGAAACCACAAAAGCAAGAGTGTGAGGTTCATGTCTGCATTTGCTGTGGCTACTTCTTGTAGGAAGGTCGCCTAAGAAAATGACTTGACTTATCGTATGTGGTGGATTTGTAAAAGGGTAAAAGAGAATTGGAAAATGATCCATAATGAATTGAAAAAAATGTTTAAAAGTACTTTTCCAAAAAACAAACAAACCAGAGTCCTTTTTGTTGGGGATAATTCAGATGGAAATTCCCAGGTGTCAAAAAAGGTTCTTTATGAATGCCACTACTGTGGCCCGTGTTTTGTTAGCCCCAAAATGGAAAATGAGCGAAGTCCCAACCAAAGAAGAATGGCAACTTAAACTGATGGAATATGCTCAGCTTGTGGATTTAACATATCGAATAAGAAAACAAGAAGAACATACGTTTAAAGAAGATGGGAAAATGTTTATTGAATATATGGGGGAAATTGTGTATATTTGAAAACGTGGGCAGCATTAAGATAAATTCAGCAGTGTAAACAAGTTTTGTTAGATGTAATAATGGAATACTGAATGGTTTAGTTTATGTAAAATATGCATGGATTTATGATATACACAATGAGCATGGAAAGGGAAGAAGGGAAGTCATTGGCATTTTAAGGTTATTTAAATGAATATTTTAAATTGTAAAACAGAAAGATTAATAATAATATAATATAATATAAACACACACAGTTGTTTCCTTTACCTCGCTGACTCTCCATGATTTCATATGGAAATGCCAGGGTTTGAACCCAGGACCTGTTGAATGCTTAGCAGATGCTCTGCCACTGAGCCATGGCACCTCTCCAGTGCAATTGGCCTAGTGGCAAGACCTTGAGAAGAGACTTCCTTACAGAACATAATCTAGGCACTTTTAGAAAACCCAAACCACTTCCTACACCATGTATTCCAGTTATGGGCTTAGTTGACCTGTGGTGTCTCATACCACCCCATGGTCCGATTTCACCCTTATTGAAAGGAATGAGAAGGTGAAACTACCAAACACCTAAGATAACTGGGGTCAATTCTGTCCTCAGTGACTTCTGAAAACAGAGTACGGAAAATAACTTTGCAATTTCCCTGATCATAAATTACATTTTCTATGGTTATATTTCAAGAGCACTGGAGTTAGGTTTTTTTCTGTTTTAGTAATTTCCCACCATAAATTCTTTTGTGTGCTGCCAAGGGTTTGCTGGAGCTCAGGGGTGAAATAGGGGGTCAATTCTGTTTCTAGTTGGCTTTATTTTGACACAGGAGTTAGCAGACTTAGAGCACCTATTTCTAGTTTGTAATACTCATTTAAGAAACTAAGAGAAAAGCCCTTTTAGGCCCTTGAAGTAAACAGGACCTCTTTCATTATTTACTATCACCCCAGAATTTCGCCTAGGCATTGTTTTTTGTTATGAGCATAATAAACATTTCACTTAAGCATCTCCTCTGTTTTCTTCTTCAGCCTCCCTTATAGACCCACGAAAAAATTCAGTTAACTTAATGGGATCCAGTGTTCTCCAACATTAGACTATGTTTTTGGAATGCAGTAACAAAGAAACCTTTCAAAAATATGTTGGAACTGGAGTCATTTTGAAATCAATCATATATTGATTTCCAAGCTAGGAGTGGCCCAGCAGAGTGATATTGCAAAATAAAAAATAAAAAGGTGTGGGAGTGATAATGAAGTTTTGATTTTAAAGTTAATCTGTGGGGGTTGATTTAAACAAGAAAAGTGTCTTGGAAGTCTTCTTAGTGTCAAATCTAAGCCTAGAAGCATGTAAACCAATAGCTAAGGACACCCCACCAGAAAAAAAAGTTTTCTGCAAGGGGTGCCCAAACCTTTTTCAAATAGGGCCAGATTTGATGAAGTTAACATGAGGGAGGGCTGACCAAAGTTGTCGAGCTTTTACGTTTTTTTAAAAACAATTTTACCCCAGAGATTTTGACCTAGGACATATACTGCCATGGGGGCCAGATTAAATCGACCGGCGGCTGGATTAGGCCCTCAAAATGGACTTTGGACATGCCTGGCTAAGGAGATAGTGCCTGAAAACATGTACAGAATTCCCCAAACTCCAGCATATCTGGAATTTGTGGCAGAAAATAAATCAATAGACAAATCATTTTAAACATCAGAAACACCTGCTCTTTTAAGCATGATCTTCATGGTTTCATAAGGTAATTTCTGCAGAAGTGAGGTTTTTAACTCACCTTTCCCATTGGCGGTGATTTTTCGTTGCCTGTTGAGGTAAAATAAATTGCAGGTTTCTGTAAAGTAACAGAAGAAGGCTTGGGGGCATGGTCTGAGCAAAGCAGGAAGAAGGAATCTTGTGAAGTCTTGAGTAGTATCTCTGTTCTTGTCATTGTACAAGGCAGATGAAAGTCAATTTGTCAGAAGTAATTTATAACTTGTATTTTCTGAAAAGGACACTTCTTTCAGAGCACACAGCCAGCGGTGATGCTATATCTTAGATGCTTAAACATTCGTTTCACCTGTCTCTGCTGCTAAGCATAAATTATATGCTTCCTTCGTTACTCGTTTTGAATTTTTGAGTGCATTCGAAGCAGGTGTTACAGTCTGAGAGAGGCAGAGGCACAATTGCAAATTGGAGAAAGCGTGTTCTCCATAGGAGAGAGCACGTGTTGCGGTTGGGGATACAGGCCACCCTATTGTTGCTGGGCAGATTTTGGAGCAGGACCCAGGCAGCAAAATGGTTAAATTGAGTTACTGGGGAGAATTGAATGTTGCCAAATTTGGAGGTGGGGTCAGAGGTTTTAAATGCTGGACGCCCAACTCTGGGCATCCTCTTGGCTGTTAGGGCTCTATGGCGGTTAGGCATTGGTTAAAATTGGTGGAGGGGTAAGTGCCTACCCCTCCAATGGTGGTGCGGAAAGGGAATTCCGTTAAAGGAATCCAGGGGCTTGCCATTCTTTTCGTCCTTGTCCCTGGCATCGGACTTGGGCCGTGCAAGCCCCACAGGAGCATGCGGGTGAGAAGTGAGGGACTGATGCCCAGCTTCATTTCTCACCCAATACTTGTTTCCCACGCTGGCTTCCGCTGGAATCCGGAAGTCAGTTCTGTCCCTGGGCAAGGACAGATAGTCATAACCAATGCCTAAGCAACCACTCGCATTTTTTTGTATTTGAATAAAGTTGTGGCCAAAAATTATGCTCAAAACCTAAACAAAAATTGATGTGTGATGTGTGATTTATTTAGGGGGGGTGGCATGGGAAAATCAACACGCAACAGCCATATTGGGTTCCATCTTGAATTTCAGATGCAGCTCAAATGTTCATCGCTTAGGTAAAGTGAAATTTATATTCAGTATTACAAAATATTTAAAATTCTGCCCATGAAACTAACTTCATTCTCTCGGCCTGCAAACGAGAAAAATCTACCTTTCTATGCGAGATATCATTTCAGGACAAAAAAATCACAGGTCTGAGTTGTAAGGCTGCTGTCTTAAGCATATTTGCTTAGGATATAATTCCACAGAAATCTGGGAATTTGCCTTTAAAAGGGGAATGAGATTAAAAGGCAACCATATTTCCTGGAATTGAGTTGGTATTTTCATTCTTTTCCTGTGTTAAAGTCCGTGTAGGTTACGTAAGTACACCTCAAAAGTATTCATATTCCGCAATAGATTGTCCTACGGCTATCTACGAAAAGGCCACTTACTGCCTTGAAGCAGCTCTTACTAAAGCAGCTAGTAATAGCTTTGGACCATAAACATTAAATAGAAGCTAAAATTGCTATAATCAAAAACTGCAGGTAATTAAGAGAATCCTCATCCAGCCACCACAAGAAAACCAACTACAAGTTTGGTGGCCATAGATCTGAATGTTCTTTAGATGGTGTTTTGTGCACCTGGGGAAAACATTTATGCGCACCAACACCAGGTTTCACTTAAAATCTATTCCACGACTGTAGCCAGAAGCAATTCCATGCTGCCTGAAATAATGTATTCCAGATATCTAAAATGGGAAGGAATTATCTTCCTTTTGACAACTGCATTTTTCATTTGATTTGGCTTTTGACTGCATGCTAAAATACTTTCTCCTTAGACAAACCATCTCTTATAAAAATGCTGTAATATTTTATCTTACATTTTTGAAAGAGTGTAGGACTTAGTGATGAAGCTTATTATTAGGGCACTGATGGTTTAGGATTGCTTTGGTTGAGTTGATGCAATGCTTTATGTTGGCATTTTTTATAATTACTAATGTATTGGTATATTGGGGACGCGGGTGGCGCTGTGGGTTAAACCACAGAGCCTAGGGCTTGCCGATCAGAAGGTCGGCAGTTCGAATCCCTGCGACGGGGTGAGCTCCCATTGCTTCTGCCAACCTAACAGTTCGAAAGCACATCAAAGTGCAAGTAGATAAATAGGTACCGCTCCGGCGGGAAGGTAAACGGCGTTTCCGTGCGCAGCTCTGGTTCGCCAGAAGCGGCTTAGCCATGCAGGCCACATAACCCAGAAGCTGGGAGGAAGTTCAGATGTTGGACCATTGCCTGGAGGTGGTAATGGGATGGATGCAGATTGAAAAATGGAAGCTGAATTCAGATGAAAAAGTGGCGCTGATATTTTATGTTTCATCTGCAGTTTTATATTGTAATGTTACCCACCATAGGACCATTGTTGAAGGGTTGAGTAAACATATAAATATACTGCCAGTGGGAACACTGGTGTGGGGAGGGGGGCTCTTTAGTGGTTGTGCCCACCCTTCTCTGTGGATGGAGAGGCATCTCTTCCCAATCCTAACCCCTTTCAAAGATATAGGTATTAAAATTGCTGTGTTCGTCATGCCAACATTGTTCCCTTTATTTCAGCAGAACTAGAAAGCATAATGACCCTCCTTTAGATCTGACTGATTGTCTTGGTTCTGAAAAACAGAATGCATTTCCTTCTATTTTTATACTGATCTGCAAACTATGATTATTTGCACATCAAAACTGAAGCATGTTTATTTTGAAATCGGACCCTTTGATCTCCATGGGATTTGCCTCCAAGCCAAAATGTTTACAATGATAGCCTTTCACAGTGGGCTCATCAGAGCTGGATACCTCTGACCACAATATGTTGTGTGGGAAAAGAATTGCGCCCATACCCAACCAGACTTTTGTGTAGAATGCAAATATTTTACGTCCGTATAAAACTTGGCTCGGTTGGAGTACTTTGCGATTTTTCATAGCTGCTGCGTGCCATGCCACCCTCCATATCAGCTCAATGTGAATATGTGTGTGTGTGTGTGTGTGTGTACACACACACACAGAGAGAGAGACAGAGAGAGAGAGAGAGAGAAATTAATACAGTGGTACCTCGGGTTACATGCGCTTCAGGTTACAGATGCTTCAGGTTACAGACTCCACTAACCCAGAAATAGTACCTTGGGTAAAGAACTTGGGGTATAAATAATAAATTATTATTATTATTATTATTATTATTATTATTATTATTACTGCTAGCACATACCCCAATAATATTTAGAGCTCTTTGTGCTCTCTGTCTCCAGGTAACAAATATCTCCCCATGTCCACCAAGGGGGTCTGTTTTTAAGCTTTCCATTCAGACAGAGGAAAGGCAAAGTGTGGCTTCAGAAATGTTGCATGGAAACCACCCTGAAAAGGGTAAAATGTAATTGATAATTTTGATATTGTATGCAGTGATACCTTGGGTTGCGGTCGCTTCAGGTTACATACGCGGCTAACCCGAAAGTAGTACCTCAGGTTAAGAACTTTGCTTCAGGATGAGAACAGAATTAGTGCAGCGGCGGGGCAGCAGCAGTGGGAGGCCCCACATTAGCTAAAGTGATA